TCTGTGATTTTACCGAATTCATTTATCATTTCTAGCATTTTTTTAACGAATTATTTTGGATTTTCTACATTTATAGTCATATCATCTGCAAATAGGGACAGTTTAACTTCTTTTCTTATCTGAATCATTTTATTTTGCTCTCTTGTCCGATTGCATTGATTAGGACTTCCAGTGCTATGTTAAAAAGGAGTGGAGAAAGTGGACAGCCTTGTCTCATTCCAGTTTTTAATGGGAAGGCTTTCAGCCTTTTCCCATTCAGTATGATGTTCACAGTAGCTCTTTCACATATGGTTTTTATTATGTTGAGAGATGTCTCTTATACTCCAATGTGGTTGAGAGTCTTGATTATGAAAGGATGTGTTTTATCAAATGTTTTTTCTGCATTTAATCTTCACAGAAATAGAAAAAGTATATATATAATTTGCCTGGAATCAAAAAAGACCTTTCATTGCTGAGGCAATACTGTACCAAAAAAATTAAGTAGGAGGCACCTCACTACCCAATTTTAAAGTATATTACAAAGTAGTGATAATCAAAACAACATGGCACTAGTACTAAAATAGGTACACAGACCAATGCAACAGAATAGAGACTCCAGAAATAAACCACAAAGCATACAATCAACAGATCTTTGATAAAGGATATAAGGCAATGCAGTGGAGAAAATAAAGTCTTTTTAGCAAATAATATTAGAAGAACTGAATATCCATCTGCAGAAAAATGAAACTGAGCTATTATTTCTCACTGTTAACCAGGATTAACTTAAAATGAATGAAAGATTTAACCATAAAACTTCTAACTACAAAATTACTGTAGAAAACATGAGGGACACTTTTGAAGACATTGGAGTAGGCAAAGAGTTCTCAAATAAGATCTTTAAAGCACAGGCATTGGTCTCTAAAATAGACAGGTGGGATTATATCAAGCTTAAAAGCTTCATCACAGCAAAGGAAACAATAAATAGAGTGAAAAGACAACCTTCAGAATAAGAGAAAATATTTTTAAAATATTCCTTAGACAAGGTATTGATACCTAGAATATAAAGAGAACTAAAGCAGATCACCTATTTAAAAAATATAATTAAAAAATGGGCAAATTGAATAAGCAATTCTCCAAGGAAAACTTATGAATGACCAAGAGTCACATGAAAAACTGTTCACTTTGTTGTCATAAGGGAAATGCAAATTGAAACTATAATTAGATATTATTTAACCCCAGTTAGAATAGCCAGGATCAAAAAATTAAAGAGTGACTAGTGTTGGTGAGGCTATGATGAAAACGTAACTCTCTTATGCTGTTGGTGGAAACGTAAGTTAGTCCAACCTCAATGGAAAACAATATGGAGGTTTCTCAAGAACTTAAGAGCAGAACTTCCACATGATTCAGTAATCCCACTTCTTGGTATTTACACAAAAGATAAGAAAGCACTTAATTAGAATGACATCTGCACATCCATGTTTATTGCAGCATTATTTACAATGGCTAAAATGTGGAACCTACCTAAGTGCCCCAAAACTGATGATTGAGTTGAAAAAGTGTTGGCACATATATACTATGAAATATTACACAGCTATAAAAATGAGATCCTGTCATTCAACTGAAAATAGACAAATAAAGAATATTTAATGTTGAGCAAAGTGAACCAGACTTTGAAATATACACATTGTATATCCCCACTCAATTTGTACTGAGTGTCTGCACTTTATGGCAGAGGTTGAGAGATCTGAAGACGTGATGGACAGGATGGGTGTAGATGCTGGATAGTGCAAGAGGTGAAAGTTGCTGATAGAGAGTGGGTGTGGATGGTGGGTGTGAGAGAAAATTTAGGACAGCCATGTCTGCTTAAATGTGTTCTTTATCTGTTAAACTAGTCTTCATATGGTTTCATGAATGCTTTATCAAATTGTAAAAGTTCAAGTGCAAAATTTTTTGAAGACTGTATGATAAATTTATGTTCACTAAAGAAAAATCAAAACATTTTTCTGTATTGTCTGGAAATAGTGCACTCTAGCATGTGTCTGTCAATTTATTTATCATCAAAAGAGCACTTTGTCTAAAAGAAAGGACTGAGAAGTGTGTAAAAAATGTACACTCTTTTGTGAAATTGTAGTTTGTCATCAGTTTGTATTTGTAAGTCATTGTTACATTACCTGTATTCTTAGTATATACAACTTTATACTTTGAAGCTTCTTTCTGTGAATTTGCAACTGAAATTTATTTTGCCAGTGTTTTCTGAATGAACTGAATAAAGCTTCGGCTGTAGGGGGAGAAAAGCTACAGTAGTTCTTAGACCCTGCTCCTGCCCCCTCGTTAGACTGCTACTAGCACACAAGTGAGCACTGTTTTTCTGTCTACAGGTATTGATGTGATAGAAATGGCTATCAGGACAACTACACTATTATTTAAAAAAATGTACTGGACTGGCCCATAACATAGCAGTTAAATGCTATGCATTGGGAGCCAGATCCCACATACCCAACTGTGGTTTGAATCCCAGTCCCAGTGGCCATGTGTGTTATTCCAGTGATTCAGATTCTGCAATAATTTTTATTGTTTTTATGTTGCTAGGTAATAATGAGCTCTCTCTCTCACACACACAGGTGCGCGTATCCTTTGGCAATTAATATATAGAGATATAGGTAAAATACTCCAATATATTGGCTTCTTTTAATTCTACATATTTTACTTTATGTATCTATAAGCATTCTTAGAGGTCTATAGTGGGGTCAGCCAATGGCCTGGTGGTTAAGGTGCTAGACTCCCAACATTGCTGACCATGCCTCAAGTCCTGGGCCTGGAAGCTTGCTTTCTCACTTTCTCTCTCTTGTGAGTACACATACCGTGCAGCAAATTTTAAAACTAATAGTAATGAAATGAAATAAATCATTCTTCTTTTTAGAGAGAGATATTTTTGTTGTGGGATGCATATGTTCTCCAAAGAGACAGAGACAGAGTGAGAGAAAGCAAGAAATCACTCCCCCCCACCCTGCCCCGAGGCAGGGGGATGGCCATGCTGCAATTTCTTCTCCTCCATTCTCCGCTTGGGATTTTGGATGTACATGCACACAAGCCCAGCGTGAGTTTCAAGCCCACCTGGTCTGGGACTCAAACCGTGGTTGTCCATATGGGAGTCCAACAACATAAACATTGTGCCGTCTGCTGGTCCCAATAATTCTCTTTTCTTTTTTTAAAAAGAGTTTTTTCCCACAGGGCACGTGGGCTTGCCAAAGAGAGAGAGAGAGAGACAGACAGTAAGAGGGAAAGTGAGAAATCACCTCCCAGGCGGATGGACATACTGCAATACCTCCTCCCTTCTGTTCCTGGGATCTTGGGCATGCATGTACATGCCCCCAGCATCATTTTCAAGCCACTAGGTCCAGGACTAGAACCATGGTTGACCATGTAGGAGTCCAGCAATGTAACCACTACATCACCTGTTGACTCCAAAATTAAAAAACAAAAACAAAAAAATTCTTAAATTTAAAAAAACAAAACAAACAAACAAAAAAAACCCAACAAGTCCATAGGTTTCACCAGACTGCTAGAGGGACTATGGCACCAAAAAAAAAAAAAAAAGATCAGAATCTTCAGTCAAAAGTCAGAGTAGGACACCTTGTCACAAGAAGAGCTCTGCTGTCTAACAGGCAATGAAGCGTCTTAGCTTTTTTTTGTTTTTCCTATAAGGAGAATACACTCACTGGAGAGAGACAGAGAAAGTGGGAAAGTGAGAAAACACACTCCAGGAAGGTTGGCCATGCTACAGTCCCCTCTCCTCCATTCTCCTCTTGGGATTTGGGGCACACACACAAAAATGGCTAGCATGTTTTTCACTCTGCCAGTCAAGGACTTGAACCACACAGTTGGCCATGTGGAATCCAGCTGCCTTAACCACCATGCTCTAAGCTTCTTTATTAACTTGCTTGTCTGTGGCCTGAGTCAAAGATCATCAGGACATTTCTGCACTCAACTCCCAACAGGTCAGGAGATCCTGTCACTTGAAAGAACCTAATGGCATAGAAGGAGAGAAAACTCAGTTGCCCTCCCCTGGAGTCTGATGCCTGGAGCACCCTGCAGAAAGAAAAAAAAAGCTAACTTACTGGGGGGGATGACCCCAAGGCATGACACAGCAATGACAATTTATAGATGTAGAGGAAGGAAGAAAAGGAAGCAGAGGATGAGGGCGAGAAAGTGGGATAAAGAAACCAGGTGACAAGTAACCCTTAGCAATAGGAACTGCAGGAAAGAAAGAACTTGAAGAAGGACATTGAAACAAAATATTGACAACAGAATGGTGGTTAAAATTTTATTTGGTCATAAACAAGTGAGATTGGGGGTATTTTTCTGTTATCCTTCTGCCCTTACTCCTCCCCCCATTTCCTCTGATGCGATCAACTGCTTTTTTCCGTTTCCCATCTTTCTTCTTGTCCAATTACCTTAGCCTTTCTCTCTATACGCACAATCCTTAGGGCTTATCTCTGAAGGACAAAAAGTTGTCCACATGTGAGAACAACTTAGGACCTGCAGTACTCAGAGTAACGAGCAGCACTGCGCAATTTGCCTCATCTGGGTTGGCGCATTCCCAGTGAATCCACCCACGCCCGCAAGTAATTGTCTTACACAGCTCACAAAGTAGTTCCAAAGGTCTTTTGATGGAGATCTGTTGTCAAGTGAATGGGAAACATCATAGAAACAGTGAAAAGTACACATCTTTTCAGGTTGCTGGATTTTCTCCTTGGTCTTAAAAAAAGTAACTAGACAGCTTCCATTTAAAAAACACGTGCACATATATACAATAAGAATTAGAATGTGATTTTTATGCAAAACCTTTCAGAGTCTATCTTAGGTGTGCTGAGGACTATCACTCAGTCTGTCAACTACCTCCAGAGTAAGCTTGTTTTCTCATTCCTTAAAAAACAAAAAAGTTTGTTTGCTAAGTTCAAACATTACATCGTGTGAAGATGCCAGTCTGTATAAACCTTTATAAAAGTAGAATATCTGGAGTATAATACACTAGAAGCAAGTTTTACAAATTAATACAAGTAAAATATATAAATTACAAGGAAATAGAGGAACAGCGGGGTTCTCTCTTTAAGTGGTTCTTTCAGCAGTCGTATCGCTGTAAAGAAAATGAAATATGCATTAGGTTTATAAAGATAAACAATGATGACATTTTGTCCCTTTATGTTCCTGTTTTTAAGCAAACATAAGGCAGACTGATCTCAATTTCAGAAGAGTTTCAGCCCATCACAGTTAGGGTTTAGCCAGTGCTCATGAAATATTTCCTAAACAAACCAGACCTTCTGTGCTCCTTGAGTAAGATCTGGGTTGGAGTAATGGCTATGTTGCTGGACTCCCATGTAGTTGACTGTGGTTTGAGTCCCGGCCCCGGTGGCTTAAACTCATGCTGGGCACATGTGCTTGTGTGCCCAAGATCCCAAGAGGAGAATGGAGGAGAAGGAATTGCAGTGTGGCCATCCCCCCGGGAGGTGATGTCTCGCTTTCTGTCTCTCTCTGGCAAGCACACGTGCCCTATAACAAAAACCTCTTAAAAAAAAAAAAAGCTGAGGAGCAGGTCCATCGGAAACTGCAGGACACAGATGCTGGGTTGGCTCAGAACGTGTTAGCAAGGGGTTTTTAATCTTAGGGATTTAAACGATAATGCCTTGGGAGTTTCACACTGGTATGGACTCAATGTGGGTAACCTTTCTAATGAAATGCTACCAAGCTAGGAACTCTAACTCTTCTACACTAAAAGCCCTGCTTTTTGAAAGTGTCTTTTGTCTTAAAAACAAAGGTAACAGATCTTCCCTACAGAGTCTGGGAAAAAGCTGCCCCTTCGGTGACTCATATGGGAGCCCAGTGTGTATGCTTCCTCAACTCAGAGGAAGGCATCACTCCCTGCCAAATAAGTCCAGCAATTTAATCATTGACTTTTTATTCTTGTCCCCAAAATGCACCAGCACTAAAGTCCAGAGAGGGCTCAGTTTAAACTTTGCCTTGTTTGAAATTCAAGGCTAAACATAGGTGGCATTACAGTAACCCTGAGAGGATTCTTCCCTGTTCCTCCCCAGCAAAATTGCCTGAAATAACTCCATATTGAAGGTTTCCCACTCCGTTGTTTTCACAGAAATTTGGCAGAATCCCAAAAAAATTATTAACCTTGTTGGACTTGCCTGATAAGGAAAACTAGATTTTAATTTTAACTTGCCCTCAAAAAATCACAGAAAGTTTCCATTTATTTACTGCAGAGTTTTTCATAGCAGCAATGAACTTTAAGTTTTCATTAAGTTTTTGTCTTATTTTAAAAGAAAGTGAACAGACTTGGAACCAGAGGGATCAATGATTTGGCAAATAAAAATATGCTTCTGTTACCTAATCCTGTTTTACAGAATAAGACAAAACACTAACCCTACCCCCAAAATTGAACCAAGCCTACACTTCTAACAGTTCAATAATATAATATGTACCTTTCAGGAGGAAATAGAAACAAGAACTTTCCCTGTTACCAAAAAAGAAAAAAAAAGAAAAGAAAAAGAACACGCATATTTCTCCCATACATCATACCCCAGGAAACAAGTGCTTCCTGGTTTTCTTTCATAGTGAATAGCTTTTCATGAGCTGCTATTCAAAGGCTTTTAGTGATTTTCAATGTTACTTAGGCATTTTTGAGACTCCATTTTAGGCAAGAATGACAGAAAATCCAACAGAACCACCAGTGTGGCATACAGGTTAAGAGCAGGCGCTTTGGCATAAAATGACTCAGAGTTTGAAACCTGTTACTTCCTGACGAGGTGCCCTTAGGCATATTACTTAATCTCTGAGTCACATTCTCCTCTGAAAAATGGGTTTAGTGCGGTGCCTGGTGCAACCAGTGAGTCTTGGCTGTTAAATGTGTCTGCTAGTTGGGAATAGGAGAGCAAGCAAAGACGGGACATCTCTTGTGCATCTCTGCAACCAGAGTAAGGGGAGTGGGAGGGGGAACGGCTCAATCCCGAAGGAGGCACCGTCTATGACAGCTTGTTCCAGTGCACATAGGGCCAACAACTAAGGCCCAAGAGAATCCCAAACTGTGAGACTCGGGAAACACTATGGAGTGCAAAACTGAATGCTATAGATGTGTCGCCATGAAGATGATATAAAAATAAACACTGGTAGGTTGAACATGTTTGGTTTTGCCTTTTTCTCCATGATGGAAACAATGGTGCATTATAGTAAGTGAACACACCAGGGCCAGGGTACAGCATTTCCACACAGGTTCTTACCTGTTGGCGAGAGCAGCAGTAGCCACAGATGCCTCCAAGCATTCCATTTATGACTTGAATGAGACACAAGATGAATTCGATTCCACCAAGAGCCAAGAGGATAGAGAACAGACAGACATTCCATTCTACAATGTGCTTGGGTTCAATGCAGAGGGACCACGTGGAGGTATTCAGGAGGTACCTGGGGAGAAAAAGAGAAATTTCTAACATGTGACTATATCTAATGAGGTCTCACATACACTGTTTTTTCCTGTGGCTTTTCCTTCAGAAAAAAAGAAATGAACTCATTCAATATCCTATATCGAATTCTTCCAATATATGTCATTTCCCAAAATTCACAAATTTACTCCAACTTTTGTTGCAATGATAAACATAAAATTAAAAATGATAACTTTTGACTCCTAATGGAGGAGTCTGTTGTTAGAAATCTTTACCTTTTATTGATGCATATATTTTTTTAAAAGACATGGATTTTTGTAAACAAAAGTAAAAATGTAAGCCCCTGATGGTGTGGTAGTTAAGGTGACTGGATCCCATACGGTCAACTGTGTAGTTCAAGTCCCAGACCTGGCAGTTTGAAAAACAGACTGGTCATGTGTGCATGTGTGCCTTAAGTCCCGAGAGGATGGAGGAGAAGGAGTTGTGGCACGGCCACTCACCCTGCGGGATGATTTCTCACTTCTCCCCTCTCTTTCTGTATCAGGGGAGCACATGTGCCCTATAGCAAAAATTATTAAATAAATAAATAAATGCAAAACGGTATCTATACTATGTTTATAATATTTCTTTTTAAATTTTCATTTATTATTATTGTTTTAAAAATTTGTTAGAGGGCACATGCACTCACCAGAGAGAGAGAGAGAGAGAGAAAGCAAGCTACAAGGTCTGGGACTTGAACCATGGTCAGTCCTATGAGAGTCCAGTGCCTTAGCCATCATGCCATCTGCTAGCCCCTCTAGGCTATATGTGTTTAAAAGTAAAATTCTAAGTAAAATTCATGTGTTAAAGATGTGAATTAAAAGCAGTTGTGGAAAAATTAAAGGAATTCATGTGTTAAGGTAATGAAATAAGAGGTGATATTTTTATCTGCTTTCCAGTTTTATCATTGCTTAATTCTTATTTGAAAGATAGGAATTTGTTACCAATCTTGAATAAAATTTCTTTAGAAAATACCTTTTTACATTAGTTATTTTGAACTTTATTAACTTGGAAACCACGTCCTGTAACCTGGTGGTTAAGGAAGCCAGATCCCACATGGCCAACTATGTTTCAAATCCCAGGTTCGGCAGCTTGAAAACTCACCAGGCCCATGTGTTGTGTGCCCAAAATCCTAACAAGATGGTGAAATGGAGAAGGGATAGCAACATGACCACACTCCATTGGGGGGTGCTTTCTTCCTCTCTTTCTCTGTCTCTCTGATGAATGTATGTACTCTTTGGCAATTAGAATACAATATTAACTCAGATCATTTCATTAAAACTCAGTTCAGAGGCCAGCAGATAGGATAGCAGTTACATCAATGGACTCCCATGTAGTCAACTGTGGGTTGAGTCCCAGACCCTACTGCTTAAAACTCATTCCGGACATGTGTGCATGTGTACCCAAAATCCCAAGAGGATAATGGAGGAGAAGGGATTATGGTATGGCCATACCCTTCAGGGGGTGATTTTTCACTTTCTATCTCTCTGTCTCTGTCTCTCTAGCAAGCACACACGCTCTATCTTGGCTTTTTACAAACCCAACACCTTTATAAGAAAAAAAAAAAAAAAAACAACCTCTCTTCAAAAAAGATAAATCTCAATTCAGTTTATTCCTTCTGAAAATTATCTAAATTATGGCAAATTTGGAGATTTAATATGCTAGAGTTTTTCAACGGAGATCTTTAAACAGAATTATTTTTGCTTTTCAGGAAAAAGCTAACTTGCAATAAGATTCACAAGGATCAAATCTAATGTACTTGCTGCCTCTTCTTCATTTCCATGGTGCTCTGCCCATGTGTCATTCATAGCATGTAGCACACTGCACTCACTCATTCAACAAAAATGATAGAGCTCTCAATGCGAGTTTACTCCTGAGCCAGAGCTGGGGATATAATGGTAAACAAGGCATAGGTTCTATTCCAGAAGATCACCCATCTAAAAGAAGAGATAAGCATTAGGCAGTCTCATGCAACTGGTGTGCTGGCTGGGTAACTGAAGAGTGAAGGGGCCACAGGAGAAGTAGATCCTACCTGGTCTAGGGGTGAACAGCTACTTATGTATCTATTCAACAAGGCTGAGTTCCATGAAGTAAGAACTAGACTTATTCATCATTGTATATCCAGCTATTAGAACCTTGAGACCAGCGGTTGGCATAATGGCTATGTCACTGGACTCCCATGTAGTCGACTGCGGTTCGAGTTCCAGATCCAGTGGCTTAAACTCACGCCGGCATGTGTGTGTGCATGCCCGAGATCCCGAGAGAAGAATGGAGGAAAAGGAACTGCAGCGTGGTTATCCCCCCTAGGGAGTGATTTCTCTCTTTCTGTTTCTCCATCTCTGTCTTTCTGGTGAGTGTACCCTCCCTATAGCAAAAACCTCTCCCAAAAAAAAAAAAAAAAGAATACTAGCACCTAGTAGGTACTCAACATATTTTAAAATTGGTCAAATGATAAATAGCAACCTGAAATCACTTAGTGAAATGTGAGCAAACCATGCTGAGGTAAGTTCTGACTGTATGTGTATATGACTTAGAAAGTTTTCTGAATACCTGGATATTCTTCCAGTCTGAAAAATTCTACCTCTGATTACTCTCTAGAATTTCAGCCTTTGGCACTTGATAGAGCCTGTGAATTCTTAATGAAATAGGAGTCAATCAAGTGGGAAAATCTAGGGTTGACTTAATTTCACAAAGAGGCCTGGTAAAATTCTTTCCTTATCGTTCTTACTGCCACAGAAGAACAAAGGGGCTTGGAATTAGAAACCGAACATTGGAATGGTTTATTGAGCCTGTCAGAGATTCAAGGTGTTGATCAAAAAAAAAAAAAAGAAAGAAAGAAAGAAAAAAAAAATCTGTCCTTCTATCCATCTTTCTGCATATGGGAAAAAAGTTTGTATTTTTAGGTGCAAAGCGAAAAAAAAAAATTGCTGCTAGTTGGCTATTGGCAAATACCTTGTGATTTGTGACTGTTAGTTATCCCCCATAGTGAAACCCCCAGATAGGTTCAAATGCAGTATGACATAGAAGAGGAAGATTTCTTACAGAAGTTGAGGTAGATAGTGGGAGGGGCAGATACAAACAAACAACACCAATTTTGAACACCAAAAGTTCAAATTCCTATAAGTGACAGTTACCTTCAGAGATTACCCATTGACTTACGTGGTATTAAGCCAGTAAATAATGTTAACAGCTGGCAGTCCAGACAACACATCAACCCCTGTAGGAAGCATTTTGCACCTACCGTCTCATTAATCCTCCTGACAGCTGTCATTGGTCTTATTTTCCATATGAAGTGACTGAGAGGTCAGTTTACTTCCTGCACTCAGAGCATGAGTGCAGAGATGGGATCAAACCCAGGTCTGCGTAATTCTAAGTTCATATTTCATGAATATGCTACCACACACTCACATCTCGCTATACACTATATAATTCATGGGAGACAAACATTCTTGATAGTATTAGGGGCAATTCAAATTCATTATTAATATTATTTTCATTCATGAGTCTCAGAACAGAATGTTTCAAAGTATACTTTTAAAAAGGTAAGAAACCTGTTAAATTATCCTGTGGTAAGATCTTTCGTATTGTAGCCTGATAGTTTTAAATAAAGGGTGCCTTGTATGTAGTTATTATGGTGTATGTGTGTGTGTTTGGGGTTGGGGATATGATTTGCCGTGGTCTTTGGTAAAATTCATAGAGTCTTTTTTATTTGTTTTTGCCATAGGGCACACGCACTTGCTGAAGAGAAATAGTGGGACAGAGAAAGATAGAACACGAGAAATCACTCCTGGGGGATGGCACACTGCAATCCCTTTTCCTCCATTTTCTTTCTGGAATTTTAGGCACACACACACACACACACACACACACACACACACACCCTGATTTTCAAGCTGCCAGGTCTAGGACTCAACTCGTGGTTGCCCATGTGGGAGCCCAGTGCCTAAACCACCACTCCACCTGCTGGCCCACTCTTCTTATCATACAGAAATTCCATTAATAGTTTCTTACTAAGTAGAAAAAGTTCTTAAGTTGATCAGCCAGTTGTTCTGGTATAACACGTAAACGATATATAGGAACGCAACTACCACCAGATTTCCTGGTTCAAAATCCTTATTTCCACTTATTATCAATGTAACCTTGGATAAGTTACTTCCTCTCTCTGTGTCTCCATTTCCGGATGTGCAAAATAAGAGCATTTGTGGAAGTCACTTCATGCACTTACTATGAGGACTTTGTCAGTGAACCCATCAAAACGCACTTAGAACTTGTCCATGTCAGGGCCTGGCCATCGTCCTTGGACACCCACTGCTTAAACCATACCTGAGTCAATGTGAACTAACACTGGTGGGTGGATGGATGAGTGGATGCTTGTTTTGTGAAGGGGGGTTGCCACTCTACACATGTGGTGGATGAGAATGTGTGACCAGGAAGGGAACAATTACATACAGTCCCTCCGTGTTGGCAAAGGTGTAGTTCCATTGGCCGGAGGAATCAAAACACAGTGGTCCTTCTGCTAAGCCCAGGGCCGCCACGATGACGCAGTAGCCAGATCCCGCAGTTCCGATGAGCGCAGCCAGTACAGAGGAAAGCATCTGGAGAAAGGAACACACCAGAACTGAGCCACAGAACACCCCAGCTACGACCTCGGAATCCTCATTACCACCCGAGCAAGAGGACCTACCGAGCATCGCTTGCCACAGTTCTCATGGCCACAGCAGCCACAGCAGTCGGCCTGTTCCAGCCCAATGAAGACAAACGCAGGTGGAAACATCTGGTGAGAAAACAAGCAAATTCGAGTTATTGCCTTTCCCTGGGGTCATGTGGGTCAGGGTAAGCATCTTTTGGTGAAATATACTGATTTCTGACGGTGTTCTGATGACTTTGATAAGACTGACCAGATATCCTAAGAAATGTAAAACTGGGACCAGCAGATGACATAAAGTTACATAGTCGACCATGGTTCGAATCCCAGACCCAGTGGCTTAAACTCATGCTGGGCATGTGTGCATGCATGCCCAAGATCCCGAGAGGAGAATAGAGGAGAAGGGATTGTGGCATGGCCATCCTCCCAGAGAGAGGGGTGATTTCTCACTTTCTGTCTCTCTATCTCTCTTTGTCTCTCCAATGAGCACACATGCCCTATAGCAAAATTCTCTTGAAAGAAAGAAAGAAAGAAAGAAAGAAAGAAAGAAAGAAAGAAAGAAAGAAAGAAAGAAAGAAATGTAAAATTCCAAAGAGCAAAACCTTGTTTCCATGTAATGTGTGAAAGTATTCCTGAAGGTGAGGATGTAAACTGGGAGAGGCAAAATAATAACCTGTAAGTTTGTTTATTTTACAAGAGTTCATAACACAGTCCCAGATGGCAACTCTGTTTGGGAAATGTTGATTCCTCCCATCCTTCGTAAAACATAGAACATACTAATAAATCCTTAACAGAATAACTGAAACTGTTTTGTAGGTAGGAGAGATGAACATTATTTACAGTAAATACAAGTCACTTCTTTGAAGATTCAAATGCGGTTTCAGCCCAACAATGAAACTCTTTAAATAAAGTAAATACAAAATAAGTTTGAGGTCAAAAGAAACTTAAACTAAGTCTAACGTCACATTCAAGACAAATGATTATGTTAACATGATAGTAATGCTTAAAATTAAAGCAGATTTGCTATGCCACAATTAGTGTACTAGGCTTAAATGTTTTAATGTCTTTTACTCAATTAAGGAAAACCCAATTTCTTTTTATGGTATTAACAATTCCATAAAATTTCTCTTTAAAATTTTGATCCCAGCATTTTAAAGTGGCAAACTCAAGCCTGCTCACATTCTTTCCATGCTATGATTCAAGATAATACTTTCAGCTCCCAGGTTGGCAAGCAAATTCCTCTTACTTCGATTAAAAACAAACCTTGGGGAAAAAAAAACAACACATCCCACTATTTGCTTCAGACTGCTCTGCTTCTAACTGTAGGCTCTTTTCCTAGGCGCCGCACTCCCCCCCCCCATTATATAAAAGAGAAAGTTTATAGTTCTTTTTTAAATAGCAACACAATCACAATTCATTATTTTTTCCTGTCATAGATGCCCGAGAATAAAGGGCAGGGAATTTGGATTCCAAACTGTTGATTTAGACAGAGAACCCGACAGCCCCTCCCAGGTCCCCAGAGCAAATGTTAACTGACTACCCAATCTAGTACTAGAAATTCTATCGTCTCTCGAATCAGATTTAAAACCTACTATTCATTTTCCAGCTGTAAAGTAAGAGAGTTTAGCAAAAAGGCAACTCACTTGTAGCTGAAAGAAGATTTTGAAAAAGTACATCTAATAAAATGATTACACTCTGCCTATCCCAACTTTTGTAGAAGCTGCTTTCAGAAGAATGACCAAAAAAAAAAAAAAGCCATTGCTGAAAACTCCCACACATTTCTGAGAATACAAATGAAAACATCGAGTGAAGAGCAGAACATTCAAAAAGTTGAAATCATTCTGGATGACTTACCAGCAAGCCTCCTCCTATGATACCGGAAAAGAACCACACGAAGCGGCTGAGGTTGTTGTCGGAAGCGAACCTTGTTTCCCCATTGGGAAAGTAAAGCAAGATGTTAGCTACAATGCAGAGGAGGGCGAGCCACAGCAGAGAGTAGCCGATGCATCGGGCACATTTTCCGTAGCACATGGTGGCGCGGGAAGCTGGGAGGTGGTGTCCTTCTGTTTCAGCTCAGTGATGCCCTGACGTGGAGGAGGGTGTGCTGGTCTGTGGGGAAAGCAATGCTC